TTTTTTTTTTTTTTTTTTCTTTTTCTTTTTAGGCTTTTTTTTTTTTTTTCTTCTTGTCTTTTACTTTTTAGGCATATAATTTTATATGTTGGGCATAGTTCGTGTGACCATCGTTTTGTGATAGTATGCTACGGTACCGTAATTCCTAAGCGGGGTTAAAAGAGGTTAATCCCCTTGCCCCCTGTTTTTAAATACATGTCTCCCTGCAATTAAAGACATCCAATTTACAGACAACCTCCAATTGACCACTTTTCTGCGGCCCTGTTGAATTCTTTATGTTTCACATTAGCCGTTAACGTAATGGCTCCCTCAGACCATGATTTTGGCTGACCCAACTTATAATTTTCCCTCCAATTAAAGACTACTATAAAATAGTGATGTTAATGCTATTTGCTATAATAAATGTTATTGTATGGCTTAAACATAAAAATATTAACCATAATTGGATATCATAAGATGGGGTTTGTGTGTTTTTAACATTATTGTTGTATTTCACACCAAAATGACCAGGCTACCCAAATTTATACCGGGATAATATCCCGGTAATTAGATGCAACACATTTTAATGTGTTGCATCTATAGTGCAACACATCATGATGATGATGATATATATGATGTGTAAATATTAAAATATTTGCGCATCATATAGCAATATTAGGAATCATGTAAAACGATAATGTCAGTGTCAAGGTTGGTTAAAACAAATACAGGACTTCATATGTCTGGATTTCAAAGAAATCCTTATTAAGAATAAATAACAGCATACATTGTAAAACATTTAATGTATTATTTCTTAATTTTCTTCTAAACAGATAAATATAAAGACCACATCTGTTGCAGGTCTTTAATATAGGAATTCTACTCAAAATATGGATGGTTTTGGCAGACCAAACTGATTTTTTTCCCTTTCATTTAAAGACTATCTTTACAACATATAGTGGTTTAAGTGCATATTGTTACAGATAATATATATCAAATAATATACATTATCCAAAGTCCATGTTTTGTGTATACAGTGCTCCATATTAAGTACCCGTTGTGTTTTAGTATTGATGATGGCATTGTTGTAATGGATAGGGCCTATTTGGGTTGAAGACCGTAGGAGTTGATATGTGGCTACCAAGAAATTTTACCTTCAAAATACATTACAATATATTGACTGTAATGCAGTTAAAAAAAATGATGATGATATGACTGTTCATCAAAGTAATATTCATCGCATAAGATAATGTTTTGTATACAGTGCTCTGTATTGAACGCCTACTGATAATTTTAGTAGGAAGATGTTGTTAGTAATATTGTAATGGAGATTTGGGTAGAACGAGCGCAGGACTTGAAATTGTTTAATTAAAAATCAAACAGTATACAGTAACTGTAAATCTATTCTAAAACACTTGGAATGAAGCAATAATTGGAGGGAGACCTAAGGAAACGACGGGAGAAGAAATAAAATAAAGAGTGGGAGAGAGAGAGAGAGAGAGAGAGAGAGAGAGAGGGGGGGGGGGGGGGGGAGAGAGAGAGAGAGAGAGAGAGAGAGAGAGAGAGAGAGAGAGAAGAATGGAAAAAGGAGAGAAAAGAAAGTTTTTAACGAAATAACATGCAATGGCTGTCAAAAACCTTTTTTTTTATTTTTTGTTTTTGTTTTTGTTTTTGTTTTTTGGCTAAATATATAACTATTACTAAATAAAGTGTAGGCCTATGCTTTGTCACTTTGATAATAATCAGACTAAATGTTGAATAATAATAGCCTGACAGCTGGTACTGTTTGCCAGAATAAATCACCGTGATCGAATAATGGATGTACGCCTATTTGTATTCATGGGATTAATATCAATGCTAAGTATCGGCATAACAATATACATCACTCCATATAAAAAAAGGCCTAATAAGCCTACTATCTACTAGGCCCTATTAAAACGATTGAGATACAGATTTTGAATATATAAAAACTGGGGGAATAATTTGTAAAAATTGGTGCTAACGCCCCTAATGCTGAATGTCTGAAACGGTTTGTTGATATATATAAGTATACATATAGACAATTATATTTTAGAAATTTTTATTTTTATTTCTTTATTACATTTCAGGATAATGAAAAATACAACAAAAGCCCTCCAATGATACCAACAATATAGAAGACTACCGATATCGAGGGATCTCCAATTGAGGCAAACATACTGTAAGTCAAAAACAAGATGAAAAAAACATAATACAATGAAATACAAAAATCAGAGAAGTGAATAATGATTATTTAAAAAATAATGACAAATTCTTGAGGACCAGTAATGACATTTGCAGTGCTTTTTTGCATACTAAGTTTACAATATAAAAATACATTACTGAATGAAGTCTGGAAGAATACATTAATGAATTAGGGAAAAATATTTACAACGTATTACTGTTGAGTGATCAAGCTATGCTAGCCCTTTTAAATAGAGGGCGTATGCTTTCATTTTTAATCTGTCTAGTTTGACATAAATTATGTTTTGGTTCGGGTAAGCCATTGACTAATTGACTGAAACAGAAAACAACAAAATCAAACGACTAAATATTAATTAAATAAATAGTCATAAGTACTTGTGTATAAATTTCGTTGGCATCTGTTATTCAACTTCGCTAGCATATCCCTTTTTCTCATTTTCCCCCATCAAGATCAACAATTAATCACTGGCACTAACAAACTTATAAAACACTTAAAATTACTCACACATGCCGTTAGTATTCGAATAAACGTCCCTCTTTGAATAAACGCCCCCTCCAGAGCATCTCATTTGGTATTTAAACGCCTCCCTATAACGCCCGGGGCGTATATTCTTTCCTCGGATAAACGGCCACTTTAAAAACAAAACCAATGAAGCAAAATCATTCTCAACACATTTTATTAATGTTCTATTTCTTCCAATAGAATTATATTTTCCTAACCTTGGGGTTGGGATCTATAAGTCTTTATAATCACGTGTTTCGATGGTAATTATGTATCGTAGTTTTACATTTACAGTGAAATTAAGGGGCGTTTATTTGAGTATACGTATCCATTTTACACAAAAAAGCTAAACGCCTCCCTCGAATAAATGCCTCCCTCGAATAAATTTCCCCCCAAAACCCTATCTACAATAAACACCCCGGGGCGTTGTCTCGAATAGGCCTATATATACAGTAATTATATTTATAAAAAAAACACACTAGTTTGCATTATCCACACTAAGCACTTAGTTCTCCCAGTAAAAATAAAAAACACAAACATATCTTTGGTATTTCTTGTTCTTGACATACCAGATAGTAACAATATTTTATTGATATTTTTCATTGTAGTTTCAATCAATCTAAGTGTGCTATTATAGACCTTATTTAATTGCAGGTTTGTGTCTTATTATGATTCTTGTATTGTTTTTATTTTTATTGTTGTTTTAAATTTCTTAATATTGTTATTATATAATCGTTTTACATTTAAAATTATGATAATATGTTGTATTTTATATTATATTTCCATTTTGTTATTGGTGTTTTTCAAATGTTGGATGCAATAAAGAAATAAAGAAATAAAGTTTCGTATTATGAGTAAAATCTCTACAATAGGCCTATTACACTCTTCGATAGAAAGTCTGTTAGCAAGGAATGTTGACTCAACAAGCACACAATTATTAAATTCATATACTTTTCCATTTCCATATAGATCTCAATCGATACATTTTATTGCAATTGAATATACTTCCAGCCTTGGCAGAACAAGAAAAATACATTATTACATACATAATTATTTGGCGACAAGATTTAGTGATACAAAAGGTATGTTGAATTAGAAGGTATTGAGAATATGTCTTTAAGCGTTGTTATGGGAACAACGGATTGTTAATAATAATGCGTACGTTATATTCACATAGGTGTATGCCTCTTAGAATTAGGTGTCTTCATCAAGTTTGTAACTTACAAGTTCCGCGCTGAATTGATCGGTAGAGGGAGACGTTACAATTAAACTTTCAATTCAATTTTACCCGGCCTGATGGTTGCCTAATGGAACCATTTTGTGTGGTCTCTGTTTGCGAAGTTCTTTGCTGTATTATACTCTCATAATATCTCATTATTTACAGGTACAAAATATGAAAACGTTATTCGGCGATACCGTGTGCGATTGTATGGAAACCAACCAAGCTTTACTAATCTATCGGCGCAGGGGTCCAGAGGGGGAGATGTAAACATTTATTTATTTATTTTTACATCTCCCCGGGGGCCCATGGGAGCGCTCGTGTTTTGACAGGGGTTATTGGAAACTATTTAATAGCAATATTGAATATAGATCCAGTTGATATTGTGCTTTGTTCAGTGATAATTATCTCAATTATCATTTTCCATCTAAAAAGGTTGTCATATCCCAAAAGGCGCATCCAGGCAGCGTCTGATTCATGACCAGTTCGCCACTGATTCCTGAAGAGAATCGAACGATGTATTACACAGTGTTCTTCCGAATGTATCGTAGACCTCTTTAAATTTTACATCTATGATCCGACTTTTGAAAAATTGAAATGTTAAATTCAAACGTTTGTATATTGAATTCCAGTAGGGGCCTTCATATTAAAACGCCTAGAAAGTGGGTACTATGATGAGCATGTTTTGATAAGTAGTTTGAATTCATGCATTATATTGTATTTTATGATTTATTAAGTAAAAAGTGCCTAAGATTAATACATTTGAGTTAAAATGACGTGGCTTTATTACATGCCATGATAATATTGATAGCCTGCCTACACGATATTTCAATAGGAACATAACATTATTTCAGCGGTTAATGGTGGGTTTATTTTTTAAAATGTTCTGTAAATTCGATTATATTTTTTGACAAGAATACCAAGGCAACACCCGTACATCCACTTCCTTGCTTAATTTATTTTATTCAAAACAGTATATTTCTTTTAGGCTACTATTATTTTGTTGAAACGCATATTGTCAAAAAAATAATATGAAAAAAATAAAATGTGAATGTCGCCCTCACGGTTGAAGTACATGATTATCGATCGGTTATTTGAGGACAATGGCGGTGATTTGAAAGAGTAATACACATTCTTGTTAAAAGGATTTATACATACTGCATTACCTTTGCGAAAAATTATAACATTTGAATGAAATCTATTATTTAAGGTAAGTTGATTTAAGATTTTGTATACGAAATATTGCAGGCCCACTGAGTATCGTAACCATCGTGATGCAGATGATGCTAAGTAGCCCCCAAGACCTGGTTGATAAAGACCTTGCCGGTGTCCTTGGTCGTCAGCCGCGATCTTAGAAAGTGCAGCGGCCTTTCGACCTGTCAAACAGGGGGCTAAGTATCAACAATCAGGCTAATTTCGTACGATGCCTGAATTGGATGTAAACCCAGGGAGTTGTTATAGAATAAAACTTAAAAGCAGTTTGCCTAGCTGAGAATGTACTGTAATGTAATAGTTAGTCTTGATAATGTATTTTTAACTTATGCAATAATGTATTAAGTTTTTTAAGTCTAGGCCTTTAAAGCCCCATTCCCGGCAAAATTTCACTAAAAATGACTTTTTTTTAGAAAATATGCATTTGCATTACTCCAATTATTATAAATCATG